GGTGGCCCCTTCTGGTATTTCTTTTCTCCAATATTTTATATATTCCAAAATAAATCTCTGTAAAATTTTAGCTCATTTGGAGATGTGCAGAATAGGTATCTTTGACATAGCCTTTTCAAGTCCAGAATTCCAGCTGCCGGTAATCTCCCTCTTTGTGTAAACCTTGCATATTATGAGAGAAAAGGCATTAGAATTACTCCACAAAATGTTATATTGAATACAAACACTATAAATAACAGTAGGAAAATATGATGCAAAATAGACGTACCAACCAGCGATTTCTTACGGTTGTGAGATTTCTGAAGACGGTGTTGTGCTCGCCAGAATAGAGATTGAACTAGCTGGGGATGGCGTGCCTTCCTCATTGGAGATTTTTTTTAGCATTGCTTCATGAGGTACCTACCCTTGAGCGTATGACGAGTCTACCTTGCAGGCTATCAAGTTTTTGTAGCATTTGTAGTGGTGTATGCTTTACTCGGCTTCTGGCCTATTTATGGTCGGGTTTGCCGGGTAGCTTTCACGTGTTGTTGCTGGGATGCTAGATGGTCGTAATTTCTGGGTGCATTATGCCGCCACTCTTGGTGTGTTGTTGGTGGGCGGGGAGGAGGGCGCCGTGGAGACTGGTTTGCGGTATGTGCGGGCCCCCATTGTGGTATTCAGTTTGTCTGGCATGGCGTATCTATGCCTTGCTCGGCTGTTAGACAATTGTGGTGTTGCCCATCCGACAAAACAATTAATAGCGTGTTGTTGACAGGGTATTGGACCATAAGTAGTTTCTTGTTCTGGTGTCCCAGGTACTCTCGGTGTGCCGTCGACGGTCGTTGGGGGTGTCATTGTAGAGGCTGATTCTCGGTGCCGCGCCCGATGTCGTGCTACTTGGTTTTTCTGGCTTGGTGTTTCCCGGGTCATTCGTGCGTGCGTGGAGAGATCTGTTGATTCCATTCCGGCTTTTATTTGGCATCAAGCCGTTGATCTGGTGTTGGTGTACTTGCATCTATTGGTTGCAGCCATTTGGATGGACAACAAATGTGTTGTTGGTCGACCACCTGGTGATGGTTTTGTTGGTGGAGGGTAAGTTCTTTTTAGATCCAAAACGGAGGAGTATCAAGCTAGCATCAAGCAACAAGTTTGGGCTTGGATTGTTGTTCACGTTTTCGTCAACAAAACTACTTTGTGCACGACGGTTGGTGGTCGATCTATGGACGATGCAATATCAGACGCTATTCTAAATGCTGCTTCCTCACACCAATGGTGTGATTAACATCATCGTGCATAAATTGGCTAGATGTCGTCGTGTGTATAGCAGGTCTCTTTCATTAAGGACATTGCATAGAGTTGTTTTATAATAGTTATGTTTTTCTAAAGTGATGAAATTGTTTGATTCTCGGCTTGCCATGAGCAGTGTCCCGTGCAAGAATATCAAGTGTGCCTAGGTGGGCATCGAGAATCCAGTCGCTGGGCTTCAACCTTTGAGGGGCCCGTAGCTAAAGACCTCGTTGTTTAGCCTACGCAATTTGACTGTATGGTCTTCGTCATTTTCCTTAAGCATCATCATCAACCATTGCATGTTTGGAATAGTTATTGTTAGGATCATCATCAGGATGTCAATGAAAGGGAACATATGAGAAAGTATAGTATCTGATGCTATGGACTATTGTCCTATTGACCTATGTTTAGTGATAAAGCCATTATGTTTGTCTCTTTGTGCAATATTGTCTATCATCATTTTTTTTGCCGTAGCACACATTACTTACAAGTTATACCAGGCCAATTGTATGTAAACTAAGATTGCTTATTAATACATCATGGGGCACGTTTGACATTCATCATGCGGACTAAAGCTTTATACCAAAGCTAATTGAATGTAACTTGCATCTATTGTATGTATTCACTACTTTGTGGAGAAACCACTTACATAACAAACCAATGCAGCTTATGAGTAACATCACATTATTTGGCATTTAACGCCAACAATGAATTGCATACAAGCTGATCTCCTATGCGGCAGACTTCTGAGTTGCCAAGTTTGACACCCGTGGTCGAGCCCGACTCTGACATCCCATGACCGACAGTCCTCCATGTCCGAGGCATGGCCGAGTTTGACTCTGACACCCATGTTTGAGTTTGACTCCCACAAGTCGAGCCTGTCTTCCATATCCTGACTTCGTCTTCCAAAGGCTGGGCTCAACTTCCACAGGCCGAGTCTGATTTCCATCGCCTGAGCCTGACTTTACGGAGGCCAAGTACGACTTCCATAGCCCCGTCTGGCTTCCCTAGCCTGAGCCCACTTTTCATAGGCCGAGTCCGACTTACACACGCCGAGTACATCTTCCAAACGACGAGTCCGACTTCCACCTCCCAAGCTCGACTTTCATATGCCAAGTCCGACTTATCCAGGTCGGGTCGGACTTCCACGACCCAAGTTCAATTTTCATCGCTAGCCCGACTTTCACATCCCGGTTGCGATCTAGAAATGCTGGTCCCCTCTTGCATGCAAGCTATTCATGTGGCTGGCAGTGCAACATCGCCGCTGGACATCTGACAGAAGGACGATGCACGGGCTGCAGGACCAAATCTCGCCATGTTACTTATGTGAGCAAGAAGTAGACACTTTGGATCACATTCTGATCCAATGCTCCTTCACGAGACAGGCGTGGTTCCGATGTTTTTTGCGGTTGAGGATTGACCTAACGTTGATCCCATCCAATGAGGCCACCGTGGAGGGGTGGTGGTGCTCTACCCGCAAGAGCGCGTCCCGAAAGTGCACCGCAAGGGGTTCGACACCATAGTCATGCTTATCTGTTGGTGTCTTTGGAAACAGCGCAATGCTAGAGTATTCGCGAGCGGCATCATACGCAACGACCGGGACAAGGTAGACTGGATCTTTCAAGAACTGAGCCTTTGGAAGAAGGCGGGAGCGACAAGAGTGCCAAACTTTAGCGAGTAGCTGCGTGAGTGAGTAGGAGTGGAGGTGGTGTTGTGCGCCGAGCTGTGGTCTGCAACTAACATGTAATGTATTGTACATATATTTCTGTCTTCTATAAAGCTAAGGTACGCCTTTGGCGTACTCTCGAAAAAAACATGTCAAGTCCAACTTTCACATCCCGAATCCTACTTCCACATACTAGATTTAAAGGAGGCCAAAATTGACCATTTCAATTAGAGGTGCTATCAGGTAATGATTTTCCTTTCAATTATGGTTTTTTTCTATCTACGTATAATTGTATGAAAATGTTAGATTTAACTCAGCCTTGTCTATAAACAAAAATGTGTCAATTTCTTGCCTTACTTCTTGGCTGCGTTTGGACTCTGCGTCATTTGACGCAACGGGTCATCTAGTTTATCAGAGGGTCCCCATGCCACGCTATGAAGCAGCAGCCTGATTAAGAGTTAAAATGATGACACGTTGATAACAGCGAGCAGGCGGATTGTAACGTTGATACATGCTGGATGGTTGTAGATGTCAAATTGTGAGGGGCTCTTGCAGCTACTGGGTTTTATTATTTTTTAATTCCTCAGCAAAACATTCTTCCGAATGCTCGTTCAAAAAAGTCAATCTAATTTCCAGAGAATCTTGTAACTTTAAAAGTTATAAAGTGATCTAAAGAATAATAAAGAATAATCAGAGGTAAAGTGGCTCTTTGCTCGGCCCGGCCCGGCCCTGAATAGCCCTCCCTCGGTCAGTTGTACCGGCCAGACCTCCTTCCTCTCCAAGAGTCAATCTCGACGGGGTACCATCGATTTCCTAAATCCGGCGCCGCCGAAAGTGCCTCTCCGCCCTACCTCGCCGCGTCGTCTCCTCTCCGCCCTACCTGACCGGTGTTCAGGCCGCCGCCGTCATGCTCCTCCGGACGCGCCGCTGCCTTCCTGCCGCTCTTTCCCGCGCAGCCGTCCATCCACGCGTCTCCCCTGCGCTGCCCTCCCCTGGAGCCCCGCGACAACATGGCCCCGTGGCCGTGGCGAACCAGGGGAGCGCACTCGAGCCCCGATCTGGACCGATCGATTGGGTTCGGAGCTCCACGATGGCCCGAGCGAATCCGGCAACGCTGTTCCCAGCATCCACTGGGGGACATTACAGGGTTAGTCAAAAGTTTAATCCATTTTCTCGCGTAATTGTGTACTCATCTGGTATTTCCACTGCAGATTGGTATGCAGGCCCGATGGTTCTCGTCGGCAGGTAGAGTGTTCTAACTTTAACATGGTCTCAGGGGAATGCATGTGTTTTTTTTTCTTCAGAGAAACATATGCAGTTATGCACGTGCGCTTTCGGTGGAGATGTTTTTTTCTAATATTATATGCACTAGAATTAATTTGTGCATCCATTTTTATTGCATATAAACAAGCCATGCAAATGTTTAATACTCCCTCCGTCACAGTTTACAAGTCCTACACCTATACCTAGATTGCCAATTTTATCACCCTAATATAAACTATATAACACAAAAATTATACCTTTTGAAAATAGAACATCTGAAGTTTATATTGGTATATTTTTTGTAATATATGACTTGTATTAGGTTAGTCAAATTGATGACCTAGGGGTACGCGCACGCCCTGTAAACTGAGAGAGAGGAAGTAGCTTATGGATCCTGTGCAATTCATCTCTGCCTGAATTTGCGTCAACTGAACTCTGAAATGCAAATGCCTGATTGTGAACTTGAACCTCATGGAAATGCCAGTTTTTTTTTTCCGATTTAGACTATTAGTGCTTCCTGATCGTTGTTCAATATAATTGGTAAACAACGACATAAGTTCATGCGCAGGCAAGGGAAGGTAGTAGCCTGAGGACTCTTAATTCTACGTATTATCTCGATGACAATTACTATTGAATCCCGAGCACATCCTTTTGTCACACTATGTACTTGTGCCATCACATCCTCTCTCTTTTATTACATTTGCAACTTAATTTTCAAGTGAAGATGTACTTGAACATTTATAGCGAATAATGTCCATTATATCATTATTTTGCTCTTATAACTTTGGCAGGGCTTCCGCCACACATGGTGATTGGGATGCCAGCGCTGTCCCCTACAATGGTAAGAGCTTAAAAATGGTCATACTAATACCTGATGATTGCGTTTTCCCCATTTATACATATTTGACTCTAACATAATTTTCATTAGAATCAAGGTAACATCACAAAATGGAGAAAACAGGAAGGCGATAAGGTGAGGCTTTTGTTATAGGAATCTTCCATCATATGCCTTGAATACCCTAGTATAGGGTTCTTTACATTTCTCTCTCTTAGCAACTCCAGGTATAGTACCTTCTAAAGTTATATGTTGTTTGCAGATAGAGGTTGGTGATGTGATCTGTGAGATAGAAACTGACAAAGCCACGCTTGAATTTGAAACTCTTGAAGAGGGGTAATGTCCTCTTATTCCACTTCCCATTGCATTTGAAGAGAGATTGTTGACTCTTCTCATGTCATTCTTTTCGAATTACACAAATAATAGTGTATATCAAGTGTTTCCTTAAAGGAATGATTTTCAGCAAAGTTTACATAGTTCACCGTAATATGGTTTTTACACTTTGAACAAGTTACATAGGTTTCATTAGAATTCCCATGCAGTGATAGAACTTGTCAGAATGCTCTTGGGACAGTTTGCCATCCAATTTATTTATTTCTGACTAGCAACCATCAAAATTTATGGCTCCCACATTCTTTCTAGCTGCAAGTAATCTGAATATTTTGCCAGGTCTTGTTACATTTCTGCCCATTCTTTTTTAGAAAAATATGGTTTGCTGGCTGACTTAACCAAACTACATTGACAACCCTTTCTCTCCCTATTGCTTTTGCTAGTTGATATTAAATCCCTAGTTGACACAGGTGTAATTAAGTTCTGTATGAAATGTGCATAGAAAGGTTCAGTAATCCCCGTGAAACTGATTAATCTTTAACCAATTTCATCACTATCGGGATGGACATTATGTGGCAACTATGTGTACGCTATCCGTTGACCTTAGTTGTTATATTGTACTCCCTCCATAAAGAAATATAAGAGCGGTTTAGATCACTTATATTTCTTTACAGAGAGAGTCCAATTTTTGTTTAAAAAAAATCCTCTGTTATTGTACCATATTGCTCTGTTGTACTGAACTGTTATACAGTGTTGTGTTTTTGCTCTAAACTTCTTTCTCTAGGTACAACTTGTGTTTGCCCGCCTTTTATGTTTATTCTTCTGTCCCATGCATATCTGTGTAATCTGTGCACATCTTCATTTTGGTTCACCACTTCAATTCTGCAGGTATCTGGCCAAGATTTTAGTACCTGAAGGTTCAAAGGATGTTCAGGTTGGACAACCCATTTATGTCACGGTATAGCTCCATGCTTAGTTGATATTTCGTATTATTTCATTGGCCACTGAATTTTGAAGTCAGCAGTACTTACTTTTGCCATGCCCATTTGAAGGTCGAAGAATCCGATGATATTGAAAAGATACCTGCTGATACCTCCTTTGGAGGTGACCATAAGGAGGATGAGTCAAGTGGAAGTGCAGCACAAACTGTCGAAGTTGATGCAGCTGAACAAAGCCCAGTAATGAGCCGCATCAGCCCTGCAGCTAAGATGCTGATCAAAGAACATGGTCTTAATGCCTCTTTGCTGAAGGCATCAGGTCCCCGTGGCACCCTTCTGAAAGGTGATGTTTTGGCTGCGTTGAAGTCAGGCACTGCTTTAAGTTCAGCCAAAGAAAAGACAGCTCCAGCTGCACCTTCGCCCCAACCAGCTCGTGATTCCCAAGTTCACTCTCAGACAACTTCACCAAAGAGCGACACATTTGAAGATATAACGAATACTCAGATACGCAAGGTACTTACCTATTTTATTTTATTGCATCAGCAAACACTTCTATGGAAGACTTAATTCAGATTTGTATTCGCTACACATCACATCCTGTAAAAGAAGGATCACCATTCTATCTGAAAATTAACTTTATTTCAAAATAAAATTTAAATTGTAATGCCAAAATTTGACAGGCCTTTTGATTTTTGTATCTTGTTGGGAGCAACCACATATTGGTTAACAACGAAGTTGGCTTCTCAACTCCCACATCTAGGCCCTGTTTGTTGATAGTCTTTGCTTCCTCTCAAGAAGCCTGCAAGCTGATGCAAAGTGTTTCAGCTTCTCATTAAATAAAAAACATCCCTATGAAGGTATTGAAGCAACAGAATCTGCAACTCTTTTTTTTGGGGGCATGAGCTTCTAGTGCTGTTACTCTGAAGAGTGAAAATGAAGGTACCTCTTAGTTGGAATTGGTGCCACCCCTTCTCCAAAATGAAGATATTGTGATTCCACTCTAAAGAGTGAAAATGAAGGTACCTTTTAGTTGGAATTGGTGCCTGCAACTTCCCTGAGGCATTTTTCCTGACAACTAAAATAGCTTTCATCTGAGGGCAGTGACACAAAACAATGGGGTGCAGGAGAAGGAAGTTTTTATGCTGGGATGGAAATTAGAGGTGTAAATAAGTGCCAATACAAATGATCCTTCTCTTTAATTGCTACGTATCTTGTTATTGATAACATTACTCCCTCCAGTCCATATTAATTGTCGCTGGTTTAGTAAAACTAGTTGTACCAAACAAGCGGCAATTAAATGAATAGGAGGGAATACATCTTTTTTCAAAATAAAAAACCAATATGCCTTTCTTGCAGATTAAATTGGTCAATTTTTTTCTCACAATGTCAAAATACATTTATGTAGGTGATTGCAAAAAGGTTGCTTGAATCCAAACAGACTACTCCACATTTGTACCTATCCAAAGGTTTGTATTCATTCTATGTACCTTTTGTAATCTTAATAGCTTTGTTGACATGATTGTATGTGTGATATCGTTGCCAGATGTTATACTGGATCCCTTACTCGCATTCAGGAATGAACTCAAAGGTGTGTATTTTCATCTTTTTCGATGTTTCATTAATTTGGTAACCAGAGTAACCCCTTTTCCCTTGTGCATTCTAATATTGCAGATCAACACGGTGTTAAAGTTTCAGTAAATGATATTGTCATAAAAGCTGTGGCACTTGCCTTAAGGAACGTCCCTGAAGCAAATGGTAATGCTGCAACATTTCTTTTTTAAGATGTTCTGCAACATTTTTCGCCAATATATAAAATTAAGTTATTCTTTATTTTATGAAAGACAACCGGATTTTGTTGTAAATCAGATATATCAGGTGCAAACCTTCTTGGTGTAGACATTTCGTTACTCAAAAAACAGTGTCAGTGTGGTGTCCCTAGGGACAGTGGTAGAATCCTATGATAAAACTCCTTGAACACAAACACGATTCATTTCCATATTGATCAGAAGGTACATGAAAAAAAATATCATTTTAACTTAGGTCAGTTTCAACAATGATATTGCATCGTAGTTTGTGTTTCTTGAAGTTTGTGCTTCGACTGATTATTTAAATGTTCAGTCACATATTCTGGGTATGTCTAGTACTCCCTCTGTAAACTAATATAAGAGCGTTTAGATCACTACTTTAGTATTCTATAAACGCTCTTATATTAGTTTACGGAGGGGGTACTTTGTTAGCCTCTATTATGTAAATCTCATGTTTTATCATTAATTGCCAGCTTACTGGGACAATTCGAAGGAAGAAGCCCAGAAGTGTGATTCAGTGGATATATCTATTGCTGTTGCTACAGAGAAGGTATGGCAGCATTGTAAACAAAAGTTTTTGTTATCATATGTTGGACACTTGGACTTCTTTAATGACAGTCTTTGCTGTTCTAGGGCCTGATGACTCCTATAATAAGAAACGCGGATCAAAAGACTATATCAGCAATATCTTCAGAGGTATGACAAGCTTCTAAGTTTAAGCAGATTCTTCAGCAGCATGTTTTTGTGTCCAAAGTTGTTTGCATGCAGTTCTTATTGTGAACCAGAATCAAGCTTGCATGTGGAAGCACGGAAAATACAAAATTCTTACATAATTGTAGACTATTTTCAGTGTTCCAGTAGATATGGAAGATTTATGGTTTCCCCCTTATTAACTATTGTAGGTCAAACAGCTAGCCGAAAAGGCACGTGCTGGGAAGCTTGCTCCTAATGAGTTCCAGGGGGGTACTTTCAGGCAAGTGACCTGTTCATGTTTGACACTGCAAGTTAATGCTGTCGAACTGTATGATATTCCACATTTGACATCTTTACCTCTGCATGGTTATGCAGTATCTCAAATCTAGGAATGTATCCGGTGGACCACTTCTGTGCTATCATTAATCCTCCACAGGTTCCTCCTTGTCCCTTGTCCTGTCATAAGGAGGTCCTTTGAGTTTGTACCGATAATCGTGTTTCATATCTTTCTGCCAGGCTGGCATTCTCGCTGTTGGTCGGGGTAACAAGGTTGTGGTGCCTGTGATGGACAATGACGGTATATTTTCTTGAATATGTGACGCCCTGCTCAAAATAGTTGCATTCATATTTAAACTCATGTTGCTTTGTCCAGGAACAGAGAAGGCTGCTGTAGTAACAAAGATGATGCTGACACTGTCTGCTGATCATCGTATATTTGATGGGCAAGTAGGAGGTATTGATCGTCTTAGCCCTGTAATTTCACCTGTCTGCTCTCGTGTCATTTACATTCTTCCTTGTATGTCACATTGTGGAACAGGCAAGTTTTTCACGGAGCTGGCATTGAACTTCAGCGACATCAGGAGGCTGCTTTTGTAAATGAAAGGTGCTGTGTTATCGTGTTTCCAAGAATTCTTTGGAGAAGGTGGCCCAAGAAAAGACACTAGGTGCAAATTTAGTTTCAGTTGCTTGATCACCAGCGCATAAGAAGTAACCAGTTTTGTAAATTAATAAGAGAGTTGGCAACTCCACGGCGTTTTTTCCTCCTTAATTTGGGAGCTGATCCCCGAGAAGTTACGGCCATTTCATGTTTGATGTGGTTACACAAACATCAACTATTGAGGCTGAGGTTTGTTGCCACGTTTCCTGAGGATTTCTGTCAACATAAGACGTTTTTGCCCATGACTTAGATACATGGCTTGATGACAGTAATAAGTAATGATTCCTTCCACAATATTGATATGCATACTTCTGAGCGTCTCAGATTGTTTGTCAGTTTCCCCAGTTGTGTTTATGTCATACTCCCTCTGTGTGATAAAATTGGATGTATCTAGCACTAAAATACGTCTAGATACATCTATTTCTTTGACAAGTATTTTGGGACCGGAGGGAGTATCTTGCATATATCCTAAGATGCAATATACTGTGGAGATAGATGTTGGGTTGATGGCTACGTCTGCATGGATTTCATGTTGATCTCCAAGGGCAGGCCGAATGACCATGACAAAAAAAGAATGAAAGGCGTGTTTTCTTTGAAATGTATATGAAATTCATGGAAGAAAAGGCAGGGGGGGGGGGGGTGATTTTTCTTTGCAAAATTTAGCCTCCAACATCTGAAATTTGTGGAAGAAAAGGCAAAGGGATGATTTTACCCATTATAGCAGAATTGATCGGGTCTGCGGCGGCAACTTCTACATATTGCCGCACATCTCTCTGATTTTTTGGGAACATATTTCGAAAGTACATCACATGACAAAAAGGATTATAAACAGAAAGAACGAAAAAAAGGAGAGGAAGAAGATAACAGCGATAGGACTGAGAACAAATAATTAAAAAAATATTTCCGACCTGCCGGAACATATTTCGAAAGTACATCACATGACAAAAAGGATTATAAACAGAAAGAACGAAAAAAAGGAGAGGAAGAAGATAACAGCGATAGGACTGAGAACAAATAATTAAAAAAATATTTCCGACCTGCCGGATTCGAACCAGCGACCTAAGGATTGATCTGCAACACTACAGTCCTCCGCTCTACCAACTGAGCTAAGGTCGGTCTGTGTCTCTGATTTAATGAAATTGTATAATTCACCTGTAGTCGGGGCACGACAAGCCAATGCATAGAGCCTTAGAAAACTTCTTATAAGTCATCCTACGCATGTTGTCGTTAAGATGCAATATATTTTCTCCTAAAAAACGATGCACTATATTTTGGCAAGCTGGGGGTAAAGCACATAGCGGGTAGCCATAGTAATAATCAAGTTGTTATTGGTGTCCGTGTCACTCCAAGGGGTGCGGCATCAGTGCATCACCATCCCCGACCTCCCCTTCCCTCATCACTCCCCTTGCCACCACCGGAAGAAACCGCCAGAAACCACCCGCTCACGGACGATGGAGACAGGGCTTCTCTCCTCGCGAGATGTTGGCGCCATGTCCTTGGACACACATCTTGGCTTCAGGGGTGGCTAGCCGAGGTGACTTAAGGAGGCGATGTTCGAGGTGGCAGTTATGGTGGCCCCACCAGCTCCGCTCTTGGGTGGCGTCGACTGCCGCACTAGATAGAGGGGCGATGGTGCGAGGCAATATTGCAGCTGCTGCCTTCCTAGTCGTTCGAGGTTGGATGTCGACCGTGAAGGAAATATGCCCTAGAGGCAATAATAAAGTTATTATTTATTTCCTTATATCATGATAAATGTTTATTATTCATGCTAGAATTGTATTAACCGGAAACTTAGTACATGTGTGAATACATAGACAAACAGAGTGTCACTAGTATGCCTCTACTTGACTAGCTCGTTGAATCAAAGATGGTTAAGTTTCCTAGCCATAGACATGAGTTGTCATTTGATTAACGGGATCACATCATTAGAGAATGATGTGATTGACTTGACCCATTTCGTTAGCTTAGCATTTGATCGTTTAGTATATTGCTATTGCTTTCTTCATGACTTATACATGTTCCTCTGACTATGAGATTATGCAACTCCCGAATACCGGAGGAACACTTTGTGTGCCACCAAATGTCACAACGTAACTGGGTGATTATAAAGGTGCTCTACATGTGTCTCCGATGGTACTTGTTGAGTTGGTATAGATCGAGATTAGGATTTGTCACTCCGATTGTCGGAGAGGTATCTCTGGGCCCTCTCGGTAATGTACATCACTATAAGCCTTGCAAGCAATGTAGCTAATGAGTTAGTTACGTGATGTAGCATTATGGAACGAGTAAAGAGACTTGCCGGTAACGAGATTGAACTAGGTATTGAGATACCGATGATCGAATCTCGGGCAAGTAACATACCGATGACAAAGGGAACAACGTATATCGTTATGCGGTTTGATCGATAAAGATCTTCGTAGAATATGTAGGAACCAATATGAGCATCCATGTTCCGCTATTGGTTATTGGACGGAGACATGTCTCGTTCATGTCTACATAGTTCTCGAACCCATAGGGTCCGCACGCTTAACATTCGGTGACGAGCGGTATTACGAGTTTATGTGTTTTGATATACCGAAGGTAGTTCGGAGTCCCGGATTTGATCACGGACATGACGAGGAGTCTTGAAATGGTCGAGACATAAAGATCGATATATTGGAAGCTTATGTTTGGACATCGGAATGGTTCCGGATGAGTTCGGGCATTTTCCGGAGTACCGGGAGGTTACCGGAACCCCCCAGGGAGTATATGGGCCTTATTGGGCCTTAGTGTAAAAGAGGAGAGGGAAGGAAAAGGTGGAAGATGCACCCCCCTAGCCCAATCCGAATTGGGAGGGGGCTGCCCCCCTTTCCTTTCTCCTCTCCTCCCCTTCCTTCTCTCCTCCTACTACATGGAAGGGGGGAATCCTACTCCCGGTGGGGGTAGGACTCCCTTAGGGCGCGCCATAGAGAGGGCCGGCCCCTCCCCTCCTCCACTCCTTTATATACGGGGGAGGGGGCACCCCATAGACACACAAGTTGATCATTGATCTTTTAGCCGTGTGTTGTGCCCCCCTCCACCATAATCCACCTCGATAATATCGTAGTGGTGCTTAGGCGAAGCCCTGTTCCGGTAGCAACATCATCACCGTCATCACGCCGTCGTGCTGACGGAACTCTCCCTCGAAGCTCTACTGGATCATGAGTTCGCGGGACATCACCGAGCCGAACGTGTGCAGATCACGGAGGTGCCGTACCTTCGGTGCTGGATCGGTCGATCGTGAAGACGTACGACTACATCAACCGCGTTGTCATAACACTTCTGCTTATGGTCTATGAGGGTACGCAGACGATACTCTCCCCTCTCATTGCTATGCATCACCATGATCTTGCGTGTGCGTAGGATTTTTTTTGAAATTACTGCGTTCCCCAACAGTGGCATCCAAGCCAGGTTTATGCGTAGATGTTATATGCACGAGTAGAACACAAAGGAGTTGTGGGCGTGGGTATATACATATTGCTTGCCGTCACTATTTGATTCTTGATTTAGCGGCATTGTTGGATGAAGCGGCCCAGACCGACATTATGCGTACACTTACACGAGACTGGTTCTACCGACGTGCTTCGCACACAGGTGGCTAGTGGGTGTCTGTTTCTCCAACTTTAGTTGAATTGGATTCAATGAACAAGGTTCTTTCTGAAGATCAAAAAACAATCACTATACCGTGTTGTGGTTTTTGATGCAATCACTATACCGCATTGTGGTTTTTGATGCGCAGGTAAGAACGGTTCTTGCTCAGCCCGTAGCAGCCACGTAAAACTTGCAACAACAAAGTAGAGGACATCTAACTTGTTTTTGCAGGGCATGTTGTGATGTGATATGGTCAAGATGTGATGAGATATAAATTGTTGTATGATATTATCATGTTTTGTTGAAGTTATCGGCAACTGGCAGAAGCCTTATGGTTGTCTCTTTATTGCATAAGATGCAAGCGCCAAATAAATTGCTTTACTTTATCGCTATGCGATAGCAATATTTGCAAGAGCAATAGTTGGCGAGACCCATGTGACGACACGTTGATAGAGATCAAGATGATGGAGATCATGGTGTCATGCCGGTGACGATAGAGATCATCATGGTACTTTGGAGATGGAGATCAAAGGAACAAGATGATCATGGCCATATCATGTCACATATTTTGATTGCATGTGATGTTTATCCTTTATGCATCTTATTTTGCTTAGTTCGGCGGTAGCATTATAAGATGATCTCTCACTAAATTTCAAGGTATAAGTGTTCTCCCTGAGTACGCACCGTTGCTATAGTTCGTCGTGCCGAGACACCATGTGATGATCGGGTGTGATAAGCTCTACGTTCACATACAACGGGTGCAAGCCAGTTTTGCACACGTAGAATACTCGGGTTAAACTTGACGAGCCTAGCATATGCAGATATGGCCTCGGAACACTGAGACCGAAAGGTCGAACATGAATCATATAGTAGATATGATCAACATAGAGATGTTCACCATTGAAAACTACTCCATCTCACGTGATGATCGGACATGGTTTAGTTGTTATGGATCACGTGATCACTTAGATGATTAGAGGGATGTCTATCTAAGTGGGAGTTCTTTAGTAATTTGATTAATTGAACTTTAATTTATCATGAACTTAGTCCTGATAGTATTTGCATAACTATGTTGTAGATCAATAGCTCGCGATGTAGCTCCCCGTCTTTTTTTGATATGTTCCTAGAGAAAAACTATGTTGAAAGATGATAGTAGCAATGATGCGGACTAGGTCCGTGATCCGAGGATTATCCTCATTGCTGCATAGAAGAATTATGTCCTTGATGCACCGCTAGGTGACAGACCTATTGCAGGAGCAGATGCAGACGTTATGAACGTTTGACAAGCTCGGTATGATGACTACTTGATAGTTTAGTGCACCATGCTTTA